GGAGGATGGACTCGGGGAAGAAGAACAGGCCGCGTAAGTCCTGACGGGAGGAAAGCACCGGCGCAAAGCAGGCGCAGCGCGCGGGGACGGGAACAGCCCGGGCAGGCATCACAGCGGGTGCACCCCAGCGCCGCGGTAGTGGGACTGCGCTAGGGGGGCTTAGGCCTGAGTCTTTCTTCAGGCCGCCAAGCGCTGACTACTATTGGCTGAGCCTGCCCGGTGGTCACAGAATGGGTCCGTTGGGCAAGGAGCTTGAGCAGATCCTTAAGGCGATCTTAACCCGCCCTTTTAATTGTTCGCTGGGAAAATGCACTTGTATGAGCATCTGATTAAGTCCAGGAGTGGGGGGTAGAGTGGGCGGCACAACCGAGGCTAACTTCTCCCTTCTCGGAGCGCATCTCTTCTGAGGCTGCAGCTCAGGCGACCAGCTCGACCTTTGAATCACAGCGTAACCGCCAGTGTTGTGGGTCTATTGGCGAGCTCGAGTCTGGAGGCGTGGAGTTTGACAACCCCCAAATCACAGCCTTTTAAACGCTGTTTCTTCGCAGCCAATGAGAAAGCCTGCTAGGGCGGACACACCCACTGATACCATGTGGGCCGGAACTATGTGGGCCAATGAAGATTGGAGGTTAATTTTTTTCGGGGGAGGGGTAAAGTTAAGTACAATTCTACAGAGCAGAAAGCCAAAGTGCGTTATTTCACAATTTAAAGCTCGTGTGTGTGTGTGTGTATATATATATATAGTGGTAGTTTGTAAAGAATACCTTCCTTGCCTGACTTTCTGGGATGTAAATTTGCACGTCGAATTCACAGCTTTTTTCTTGTCTACACTGAACCACATTCAACTGGTTACTTCTTTGTGTTTTTAATGAAGCTTATAAATGGCAAAAAGCAAAGTAAGTAGAAAGTGTGTTAATAAATGATTGCATTCATGCACATTTTCCATAAATCATTACATTGTTGTGGGGAAATTGTTAAATGGTTTTGGATTTCTCTAAAAGTTTGATATTTGGCATACAGCATATCGGGCTCGCTTTTTGCTGTTTGTCTACTTTTTAAAATCTCTTTTTCACTCTTAGCTTTTCTACATTGAATTAAAATTTCTAAGGCCCAGGAAAGCCCTTTGACATGACTGAGTGAATCCAATGCTTGTTGTATTTTGTAAGTATGAAATGTTAAGGCTGAAAGTTAAGGTTTTGTGTGGCGATTTGGAACCACACAGATTTTGGCTATGGTTGTAAGAAAGGCATGTAATATTTGTATTTTTTGTACATTTTTTTATTAGAAAATGAACTTCTTTATGGACTTGATGTTAATTACTTATGATTTATTTACTTTACTTCTTCTGAAACATTTTAGTTATTTCTGTGATTTACACTGACACTGTACCAGAGCTCAGAATGTTGAGTTTTTGTTTAATATGGCCAACTTGAATGATCTGTGTTCAGTCGAGGATATGACACCTTAAATCATTTTTGAAGAACTGAAAATATAACCTTTAACAATAACTTGAAAACAAACAAAAACTACCCTGAGCCTTAACTTGTGCTTGCAAACCCATAGGAATTCTTATTCTTATTATTAATTTTTTTGTTTGCTTTTATTATTATTATTCTTTTTTTTTTTTTTCTTTTTTTGGTACCAGGGATCGAACTCAGGACCTTGCACTTGCGAGGCAGGCACATTACCACTGAGCTAAATCCCTGGCCCATCACCATCATCATCATCAGCAGCAGCAGCAGCATTATTTTGTGGTACTGTTGTCAAACCCAGGGCTTTTGCATTAAGCAACAGCCCCAGCCCTTTTAATTTTTAATTTTTTTTAATTTTGAGGATTTCTCTGAGTTGCCAGGTTGCCCAAAGTGCTATTCTCCTGCCTTGACCTTCCAGAATGGTGGGATTAAAGGTGCACCACCATGCCTAATAAGAATTTTTTTTAAAATACAAGAAAATAAAACTATCTTCCTATGTGTTTTATGTCAGTAAAGTGGTTTGTATTTGTAATAAAAATGAAAATCTTAATTCTTCTAAGTGACTAATTCTTTTAAGTGACTTTAATTCTTTTAAGTTTCATCATCATTTTTAGTCGTCTTACAATTTTTTGCCTCAGATTTGAACACATATTTTTGAAATAAATTTTACATGTCCTGAGGAGTCATCTCTGCACATTTTACTATCAAACATTCTTAGTTAAAACTGGATTTAAGAGGGTCTGGGATTTAGCTCATTGGTGCCACCACCTGCCTTGCAAGCTCAAAGTCCCGAGTCAATCTCTGGTACCAAAGAAAAGGGGATTTAGTATTTTTGTAACTTGCCTATTAACGTTTTCATATCTTTTTTATAAAAAATACTGTTCAATCAGTTGATATTTAGGTACACTTAAGAGGAATCTTAGAGTTAAGCATGTCTGTTTTCCCTTTTTTTGAGACAGGTCTCATTGTGTAGTTCAGCCTCACCTTGAACTCAGCCCAGGCTGGCCTAGAACTCTGGCAATCCCCTGCATCAACCTGAGTGCTGGGATTATAGACATAGACCTCCACACCTGGCTTCTGCTTTTTAATGACTGATTATTTTATATGAGCAATTATTTCAGAGTATTTGGGTCCTTTAAATATGGACGTTTAGAATATGTTCATGGTGAAACATCAAACTGGATAATTCACTCCTACTTACCAGTTTATGACAAGAGACACATACCTCTGCCCAAACTGGATGTGTTGTAGGACAGCCAGTGATACCACTTTTAAAGCCACCTAGAATGCATATTTGGACAGTTGTGTATCTATTTGTAATACATTGAGTAGAGTGCAATGCTATTAAAATACTTTGTATTTGGAAACAGTGGATAGAATAAAGTAAGCAGTTCAGTACTTTTAGATTTTTTTGTTTTGTTTTGTTTTAATGCTAACCTGAACTCTCAGGGCAAGCACTATTCACTATCCTGCAGTCTGATCATCAGATTAGGGCCAGGCATGGTGGCACATGCCTAAAGCCCCAGCGCTTAGGAGAATTAGGCAGGAGGATCAGAGTTTAAAGTTGATGGTGTATGTAGCTCAGTGGTAGAGCATGTGTGTAGCATTTGCAAGGCCTTGAGTTTGATCCCCATCATGAAAAACAAAATCAGATCAGTTGAATGCTGATCTTGAAAATCTAAGAAAGGAAAATATTTTCCATTTAAAGTGCCATCACCTACTCTACTCATCCTTGGAAGAGTTTTCCAAAACAAACTGCTACACAAGGCTTATTTACTTTGCCACCCTTTGCTACTTAGCAGTGAGATGATCTCATTTAAGTTATTAGCTCTCATCTTGAAATGCTTTAGTTGGGTTAGGTGACATACAAATGTTATTTTTCTTTGTTTGTTTGTTTGTTCCTTCATAATTTTATATTTCAAGCCAGACATGGTGCACATGAGAGGCTAAGGCAGAAGGATCACCCAGAGTTCGAGCCCAGCTTGGGCTACATAGTGAATTCAACTCCAGCCTGATATATGTATGTATGTATATATATATTTT